ACAGTACAGAACTTTGACAGTTTAGGATTTCCCTGCTCAGGTGTAGTCACCTTAGCACTCCTACCACCCAAGCCTCTGTTTTCCTCTATCATAGTCCTTCGTGCTTCTCTCACCTGCTGGTTCTCATCCTGTTCTCACCTGTCTCCCTCCTCCCCTGAATGCCTCAGATCTATAGTCAGCTAAAATTTTGTTGAGGATTTTTGCAACTGTATTCATCAGGGATGTTGGTCTGTATTTTTTTCTTTTTTTGTGATATCCTTGCCTGCTTTTGGTAACAGAGGAAAGTTGGTTTCATGAAATGTGTTTGGTAGCATGCCTTCTTTCTCAAATGTTTATGGAAGAGTTTGAGAAGGATAGGTAGGTAGTATTCCTCGTTTGGTAGAACTCGCTAGTGAAACCATCGGATCCTGGGCTTTTGCTTTAAGGGGAGTCTTTTGGATATTGTTTCTATTCCCTTTCCTGTGATCAATCTGTTCAAGTTTTCTATTTTTCCTGTTTCAACCTCAAAAGGTTGCATGCTTCTCAGAATTTGTCCACTATTTCCAGATTTTCTAATTTGTAAGCACAAAGAATTCATAGTAGTCTCATACGATCCTTATATTTCTGAGGTATCTATTACAACTTCTCTCATTTCTTATTTCATTTATTTGAGTTTTCTCCCTTTTTGGTAAGTCTAGATAGAGATTTATCCATTCTGTGTATTTTTTTTCAAAGAAATTGCTTTGCTTTGAATAATCTTTGAAATACCTTTTTAAATTTCAGGTTTTTCCACTCTAATATCTATGAGTTCTTTCCTTCTACTAGAAGTTGGTTTTATTTGTTCTTCTTTTTTCTAGTACCTTCCTCAAGGTATAAGTTTAGATTAGTCATGTGAGCCCTTTCTTCTTTTTCATATGGGCCTGGATTGCTATTTACATGTCTCTGAGGAATGCTTTTGCTGCATCCCTTTGTTTCTGGGAGGTAGTGTCTTCATTTTCATTTTTCTCCAAGTATTTTTAAATTTCTTCTTTGATTTCCTCATTAACCCTCATTGTTCAGTCTCCACATATTAGAGGTCATTCCAGATTTTTTTATGGTTGATTTCTTATTTGATAACAATGTGATCAGATGGGATACTAGAAATCATATCTAAATTTCAATATTCATGAATTTAGTGATGCTTGCTTTGTGATCCAGTATATAGTCAATCCTGGAGAATGTTCCATGTGCTCTTCAGAAGAAGGGTGCAGTGCTTTGTTAATGTATCCTAAGCCCATGTGGTCTGACTCTTTATTTAAGATTATTGTTTTCTTATTTATTTTCTGTCTGGTTCATCTGTCCATGATGTAGCTGGCTAATTGAAGTCCCCTGCTACTATTGTTTGGTAGCCAATGACTATTTTAAGGGTAGTTAATAGTTGTCACATATATTCTGGTACTCCTTCATTTAGTGCATATATTTTATGAATAAGCCTTCCAGATGCATTTTCCTTACTCATTATAAAGTGTCTATCCCTGTCTTTTGTTACCTTATTTAGTTGGATGCTTTTTTTTTTCTGACATAAGTATGACTATCCTTGCCGTTCTTTGTGTTCCATTTTATTTTTTTCTGACAGTTCACTATGAGGTCTGTATTTCTTATCTTTGGAGCTTGGCTGGGTCTCCTGGTGGCAACAGAAAGTTGGGTTTTGTTTTCTGATCCAACCAGCTACTCTAAGTCTTTTGATTGGCAAGTTCATCCCACTTATACATGTTTGAATGATTATTTGTATATGAGAACTTTCTACTGCCATTTGGTCTTGAGTTTGCTGGTGCTATTTACTTATTTCATCTCTTATGCATTTTCTTAATTTTGATTGAGATAGGAGTAGTCCTTTCAATACTTCTTGTAGGAGAGGTCTAGTGTTTGCAAACTCTTTCAGTTTTTAATTGTTTTGGATGGCCTTTATTTCCCCATCTTACCTGAAATTATGTTTTTGGGTATAGTATTCTTAGCTGGAAGGTTTTTTTTTTTTTAAGATTTATTCATTTATTTTTACAAGCACTGGGTACAGTCAGAAGCGCAGGAGGGTGAGAGAATTCACCAGAGCCAGAGCGGGGAGCAGAACAGGCAGACTGACAAAGTACACTTCTGAGGGGAGGAGTGGGCTCTACACCACTGGGGAGGCCCTTCAGCTGGCAGTTATTATTTTTGAATATTATGGATACATCTTTCCATTCTCTCCTTACCTTCAGATTTTCTGTTGAGATATGTGATATAGACCTGATTGTAGTACTTTCTCTTGAATATCTTTTATTTGTTTTTCTGAATTATCTTATATTACTTTGACTTGCCTTTCTGTGCTTCCTTCCTCTGTCAGTTTCTTCATTATAGCTGTTCTGATCTCTCTACCTGATAATGAGATTTAGTCACTCATCTTTTTGTTTGAATCTGGAGAGTTATATTAACCTTGAAAAGTTGTACTCTCTTGAGTTCTCATATTTCCATGTATTCTACTTAGTTTCCAGCCAACTTTATTAAGTTCTCCATATTTTATTATTTTAATATATTTAACAGTAATTCATGGTATTAAACTATTTTACTTCCTTGAAGGAAGTACAGTGGTTTTGTTGGAACATTTATTTTGGTCTTTGCTGAATTCTAGATGTATTGGGATCTGTTTTTTAGTTGCTGGGTCAGCACAGAATGGGAGGGAATTGGAAGGGTCCAGAACTTGGTGTGAATTAATGAAGCTCGCTCTTATTTGATTTCCCTTCTAATAGCCCTCCTCCCTATAATATGGGATGGGTGATTTGACTTTCCCAGTAGTCTCAGTGCACCTCACAATGTCACCCTGAGTCCCAGAGTGTAGGGAGGGAGAGTGTAATTCAAAATGCATGCTCTGCTATTCTCTCTACTAAAGAGCAAGCCTGTTTGGAGCACCTTAGCTCCTTCACATAGATTTAACCCTCTTTTAAAGATGTTTTCCTCCATTGCTCTAACCTATGTCTCTCAGGCTTATTGTACTAGGAGCTATAGTTAATAGGGATCAGGCTCTGCTATTAGCCACTAGACTCTAGGACTGGTGAATGGCAGCTGGATTCTTGACTGCTGGCTAGTGGCTGGGTTCCATGGCTGCAACAGGAACTCCACAACTGGTGGGCAATAGTGAGGGACTCCATAACTGGGGGTGTTCTGAAGATAAAAAGGGGCCTTCCCTTATCTTTGGTGATTTTCATGGCTCAAAGCAGGGAGCACTGTGTCTTGTGGGGCTGCCTCTTTGGTTCATGGCAAGGGTCAAAGGTTTGTGGCTGAGACCTTCTAGGGCTTACAATGTTAGGGCCACATACCAGTTCTGCTCTGCTTTAGGGCTCAGCTGATACATTTGAGGTTTCTAGGCTGAGTACACCTTGTCTGCCCAAGTGGTCTACATAGCCTCCACTACTCACTACACACCTGAACCCACCCAAAGGTAGATGTTACTCCTAGTAAATGCTGTAGTCCCAAGTTTTTCCCTCAAGAGTTATTGGCTATATTCAGCTGCAATCTAGCTGAGATTAAAAGGAGGTGGTGAGCCCTGAGTCTTCATTCTGTTGCCATTTTGATGCTTCTCTTTTTATTTAAACTCTTATATTGTTTTCTTCATATGGATTTTGTAAATTTAGTAAAAGATTTTTTAATATTTTCTTACAGTTGGATTTTATTGTGTAAATCCTTCAGGGTTTGTGACATATAGACAGCTCCTAAATGTCCAAATAATTTTGCTCAAGGTCTTACAATAGGGAAAAAAAAAAAAGACAAGGTGTCAGAAAGGGACTGAGTGTGCATCATTCAAGTCTAAAATAGGTTCAAAGGGTATTGACAGATCCAGAACTAGTAATTTGAAATTCTCCATTTATTAAAATTCCTTTCAAATATGATTTCCATCCTGCTCACTTCTCTTCACCCATTGTATTGGGAGGTGTAATCTTCCACGAGTGGGTTACCGCACACCATGACCACATGATATTTTCTTTCTTAGGGGAAAAGGGAATATTTGCTCAAGTGACTTCAGCCAGATAAGGGGAGATGAAGAGGACATGTGGATAGTCAACTCTTTTTGGATATTTCTCTATTTCCTAATCCAAGATTCAGGTTATAGAAGAGCCCCAAGAAGACTTCTTCTGTCAGTACATCAGAAAGTTGGATTTTGTTTTCATTTTAGCTTAAATGAGGGATCTTTTAGATCATTGGAGCTAGAATTCTACAAATTTGTTTTTCATTCCACAAAAAATAGTATAGCCACAGAAATTATTTTCTCATTTGACAACTCCTAGTGAGGAATCATGTTACCAAATGGTAAAAATGACCTTATTAAAGTGGAAAGCTTTGAGGAAGATGGATCAATGGGGGAAAAAGGGTCAATGAAATGAAGGTGGATTGAAACGAGACTTTTGTAATGATCATAATATAGGACCAATGTCGAAGTATAAAGCTGTATACCTGAAACCATGCATTGTTATAAACCAATATTACCTCAGTTGCAAAACTCTGAGAACTATATTCATATTTCTCAAGTATGTTTTTGTTGGTGTACTTGCATTTTCAGTTACTGAAGCATTTCCTCTTTTCAAAAATACTTTGTTAAATAATAAACGATCTGCTCTGGTCTTAGTGGGAAAAGAAGGCTCTTTCCTTTGATACATTATATCAGCAGTTTCACAGAATTGAACACCTGGAAATCAAAACAGTCTTAATTCTCGGAATGCTTTTCCTTGGTAACATATAAAAGTTGTTCAACAGCTGCTGCTGTTCAGTGCTTTTCCTGTTCTTATCCTTCCTGTTTTTATCACCACTTTCCAATGAATACCTTCGCTTCGTGGAAAATAGACATCTGCTATGATTTATCTGAGGAAATCTTAACGAAATACCAGATGCCACAAAACCTTCATTAAAGGACTTCCACAAGAACTCCAAGTATCAGGTTTCCTTTACAAAGTGCTTAACTGATAATCATGGCATGTCTCCGAGGAAAGCATTAAGATTTTTGCAGAAGCTGTAACCAATGTGGAAGCGCAGGCTGGATCATGTTATTTGGAGAAGGGACTAAGCTCATAGTAATTCCCCCTGGTAAGTATTATTTTTTCTCTTCTTACTTCTTACTTCTTACTTGATCTGTGATTTCAAAAAAAAAAAAAAAAAAAAAAACCAACAACACAAAAACCCTGCAGATAATGCTTATCTCATGCCACATACTTGGCCTTAGTATATGAATAGTAGTTTTTTGCAGCTCCTGGTCACTGTACTTGGAAACAAAACTACTTTGTAAATGGTTTATTCATTTTCTTTCATATAAGCTGATTGAAATTCTAACTTTGGAAAAGCTCACTAAAGTAATGGACACCGGATAGACATTAAAATATTTGGAGGACCATGTGTGTAAACCATTGCTGTAAGTTATTGTTTTAAAATATATTTCTTCTATTGGCATTTAAAGTAAGAGACACTTTTATTAATTATCTCCTTTTTATTTTTGAGTTGAAACAGTAACCTGAAAAACTATTTTATTGGGTTTGATCTCATCTTTAACAGCAATGAAAATAATTCTTATTATTTTAGACCATAAATAAATCTCAATTATTCTATCTAGTTTCCTAGAAGGTATAATGAAACTAGTCCAAATTTCTGCTACTGTAACTCATAATACTATATTCATGAGCTGGACAGACTAACTTATGAACTTTATTGTGAACTCAATATGCCATTTCATCTCCTAAGTCCATGAAAATTGTTTGTATGGTTTTATAGCCTCATTTGTTCATCAACTGTATCAGCAAATGCTGATTAAGACAGCTTCTGTGTTGTATGCTAGCTATGTAAGTTTGAACAAGACACAGTCCCAACATTCAGTAACATCTAGACTAGTGGGTAAGAACTCTAGAATCTGACTTGATGGGGTTTTATCTTCTTTGGTATGTAGTGCCAGGGAGGTAGGAATTCTTGGATCCATGAGTATTTTTTTCTTTTGTTAATTTATAAACCAGTTATTGCTTCAAAATCTATATATTTTATTTGCTGAAAGAATTTTATTAAATGACCTTAAATTACCCCATTAATGAGACTAATAGTATTATATAATAATTCTTTAGGGTCATTCCTCAATAGCCCTTGGAGGAGACCCTCATATTCACCTTTCACAGAGAAGGAAACTGAGACTTAGAGATTTCAGTTATTTACCAAAGTTACATGACTAGTCTCTATGCCTAAGTGTGGGAAACAATAGAGACTTTTCTATTCCAATGTGCATGGTCTATGCCACTATATGCTATAGAAATATTGTCATGTTTTAATATAATGAACATTTACTTTTCTATATCGCAATTTCTTAAATAGCTTATATATTATATTACATATATAATATAATATATATATATTATTACTACTCATTTGGAAACAATGTTCTTCTTCTGATCATTATACTAATATTACCTCTGTCCCTGTAATAACTCAAGTAAGTCATGCTGAATATACATTTATTAAAATAATGAAAATAAGATTTGTAGGGCATTTCTGAAAAATAGCAAGCATTTTGACACCATTACATTAAATATTATTTCTGAATGGGCATCAAATTTGTAGAAGATTAAAGATGATAACAGAAAAATGGCAGTAGTACTAAATTTCATTACAAAATTGTTGAAGTCAAAAAAGTCCCACTCATGATGGGACCACTATAGAAACACCCAAACAAATAGAATTCTCTAATAAACAGCACAGAATTATACATCAATGCCCTGGACATCAGGGCAGTTTCTAGCCCAAAGGAGTAGTCCTTCCACAATGATGCCTGAGAGACCATCACTGAAAATTCATTTTCTGTAAAAACTACCTCATCTACGATCAGTAGGAAGTGAATTCTTGAGAACTCCCTTTTCAATCAATATAGATACCAATCCCTCAGCCCATATAAATTTAATATTACTTGTAGAACAGATTGGAAATTCATTTCCTTATATATATATATATATATATATTATTCTTTCTGATCCTCATTGAAAGTTAAAGTAATAACTTTAAAGTAAACTCTAGGCAAAGAGTTGACTTTATGAAAACCTTTTAAGGAGAGATATTTGGAAGTTTCAGGTAGACATGGAGAAAAAAGAAAATTATACTCTCCAATATGTGGGGGAGGCAGGAAAAGCCCAGGAGGAGAAGGGTCAGTTTTTCAATTTTTGAATACTCTCAAATCTAATGTGATTTTGCTTGGATTTCATCTTTTTTATTATTAGCTGGGCCAATTTTTAGGTATTTATATAAATATTGGAAACATACAGGTATCATTTTAAAAAGCACAAAAAGATACTTCCATAAGGCTTTTCATACAGTGAGGAAAACAACAGATTCAAAGTGTTGGTCCTTGTTCAATGCTGCAGGTGAATTTTCTTTAAATTCTTCGCTAAAAGATAGCCAATTAATGTAAGCCGGGTAATGTAAGTGCTACAGGCTAGGCGCTAGTGCTAGCTTAGAATTCTTGGGTTTGGTCTACTTTGGTCATGAATCATGGTAGTATATTTGGAGAGGTTGGTGATTGTGTCCATGTCCTTGGAAGCAGTTGTCTGCTGACCTTGTATGCTGGACATTTATTGACAAGGAATTAACTAGTTAGAGCATCTATGGGTCCCTTATAGGTGGGGATGTTAGGAACATTCAATATGCTTGATTGGAAGATTTTTTAAAAATAATTTAGATATTTATTTGATTCAAAATATAACCAAGTATGAGCCAATGGATTAGAAATGAAGAAAAAAATTGCTTAACTTGTTATTTAGTCAGATGATGGTTAATAGCAAACATCAGTACTTAACTGTGAGCCATAGTTAGGAGTGTATGCTTTTTTTTTTCTTTCCTAAATTCAGTCCAGTAAATTTGTTCATTTTTTGTTAGTCTTAAAGATGGAATTTTAACTGGAGGTGGAAGAACATATGTTAAGAATGTTTCCAGCCTACACATCATTCAGATGAACATTTTCAAAGAATTTTCACAAGCTGATAAAGCACTAAAAAAATGAAAGAGATGCTATATTGTGGTTTCCTTGGTACTTGTGAGCATAGGAACAAAGGAATTCATAAATTGAAATGGAGCTTTCTGGTACTCTTTTTTTTCCATCTGACTACATACACAATATATTTATAGCAACCAAATTAAAAATGGTGACATAGATAAAATTGATGAGGGTCATGAAAAACTAGTTTAAGAGGATGTGGTACAGGAAAAATAAGAACTTTAATTCTGGGTTATCATTTTCTATATCATTATCTCTTAGCAAATATTGTTTGATTAACTGGTTAATGTTTTATTAACAATTAAAATTAATACATTTCCATCATGGAACAAATTGAAAATACAAAGTATCTAAAATTTAAATTTTATGGTGATAATAACCACTTCTATATTTTGATATGTTTCATCCATTAATTTTGTTAATGCCACAGCTGTCTCAAGTGAATACTGGAAAGATTAAGTGTAATTTTCTATCATGAAGATTGAATATAGGACAAGAACAACACCTGAATTCATGAGAATTCAAGTTACCTACCACTTTTTGGAGCCCTTTATGAAATCAGCAGTACAGATAAATGTATTAATTATCATCTTGTCTACAGATCAAACAAATGGTCAATATTTGCAAAATATATTTAATTCTAAGACTAAATGTTACCTGCTTCTAAAAATGGTTAGAATGTATTAAGCATTATCCAGAATATTATAAACCTGATTTTAAGGTGATATTTCCTTTTCCAGTATATATATCTGGGAGAATAAAATAAGAAATGTTTTAAAAATTGAATATATAAACTTATAGCAATATAGTGAAATAAATAGCCAATTATTACCTATGTTAATTAGATTATTCCTGAGTTAAAGTTATATCATATAACCCTACTTCAAATACAGTGTTTTAAACCAGTGTTACCTCAATTAAAAAAGATATTTTCTAAAAACCAATCATCTCAAGTGAAAACACAGGATCAAACTTTACACATGAATTTCAAAAAACATAACACCATTTTGTTCATCTTCACCTTTATTATTTTAGTTTTTACTCTTGAGGGAGACTAAAGAGCATTCAATTCTATAATTTCTTTCTAATTAATACAGTTTGTTATAATGTATGGCACATTTCAGAAAATAAAACTTCAGGGGTTAGGCATATCTATAAATATAATAATTACTAAAAGACAAAATAGCATTCCATTAAGTAGTTCTAAAAGTGAAAAAAAACTATCAGTGAAATGTTATTTAAAGAATGCTGCCTTTTTTGCTCTCTACATATCTATATAGAGCAACATTTTAAGTTTTCTCAATATCTGAGAGTCTGTTTTGGGGTACCTATATGATGTTATCACTAATATTTTATATGAAAAGACAAATTACTGTTTACTAAAATTTTTTTTCATTTATTATGTCATTCTGTCTCTGTGCAATTACAAGCATGAAGTTCAGAGACTTTAGCCCACAAATCTTTGTTGAATTTTTAGGTGCTAGCTCCAAAACTAGCATTAGTTGAGTTTATTTTGGGTTGCTATCTTTTCCAATTAATATTTTTTTATATCATACAGTATTAGAAAATGACATTTTAATATCTAAGTTAATCAAGGACTGAAAAAGACAACCCATGTAGTGTGAGGGATGACTTTGGGGAAAAACGCCTCACCTTATGCTCTGGCACTTTCATTCTGTTTGAATTGTTGGATGTTTTGTGTCTATGTCACAGAACTAGAATATTCTTTCGTCCCTCCTGTCATAGTCAAGATAGTCCTTACTAAACTATTAACCTCTGGGGCAGAAGAAGATATAAATTAAAGTGTGCAAAATTTTGCAATTTATTACACTATTTCAAAAATCCTCTTGAGAAGACCTGAAATTAAATACACATACTGTCTGACCATAATGAAAATGGAGGATCAAAAGCACTAAGGAAAGCAAAGAAAAAAAAAAAAAAAAAGGCCTGTGAATATCTAGTAAAAGCCCAAGGTAAAATTTTATTTTTAAATATAGGAGAAAAGTATAGTAGAGTAATATACTTTTTATGATAAGATTAGGTGAAGCACAAGTTTTCAAATATCATATTCTTTCCCCACTATATAATTGAAAGGACATTAATGTGGAACAGACAATGGACAGTGCCTTCAACCTTCATTTTATAAAATGAAAAAAATGGTCTTTAAACAACCCATCTTACACCATCACCTCATCATTGCTTTGGGGCCCATAACATTTAATGTTATTTACAGGAGGTGATCCTCAGCAGATATGGTCAGGCAGGTAACATTTTTTTTTTAAGATTTATTTTTATTTATGCATACAAAAACTGGGGTGTAGGCCAGAGGTACAGGGGGAGGGACAGGTGAGAGGATTCACCAGAGACAGAGTGGGGAACAGAACAGGCAGATCAACTGAAATACACTGCTGAGGGGAGCTGCAAGGGAGACAGGAGAGGTCTACTGTGCCCTGTGGTTTAGCTCCCCCGCCGGGATTGAACTCAGGCCCCAGTGGCTGTCAATAGTTTGATAGTTTGTGACTTTAATGCCTGCGCCAACAGGTAGGCCTCCAGGCAGGTAATATTTTAATGACCTAATGTGATCCTAGGAGGATGTGTGTATCAGGTATCTTGCCATTTCTCTAGGCATTTTCCTTGAAGACCCGTGGTCAGGAATTTGAGGCTGAACTTTTGTTGAGCTGGATAGATGTCAGTTTTAGAATGAAATTTCTGGTGAGGCTTGGAATGCAAAAATATAGAGATGTGGACATATGAGTGAAGCAGTTCCATATTATTGCACATACCAGACTATAGGCCAAGTTGCTTTTATTTTCTCAACACAGGGACAATGCAGATAAGCAAATGATTGCCTTAGTCATGTGTGTGTGTGAAAGGCAGGTTTCCCGTGATGGCTAGTAATTCAGGACATATTAGTATAAAATGGAGTGCAAATGAAGGGAGGAGTCTTTCTCCCTAATTCCCATGGATCTAATTGCAACCCAAAATATTAAATTCCTATTAGTAAGGGCAAAATTAAAAAGTCGTGTTGGAGCACATCTATATCAAATTCCTAAAAATAATGATAATCTTCTTATTTCAATTGCCTTTCAGATCTTGTTTCACTTTGCTCTTTTTGGTTTCACTTTGGATCTTTACTTCCCTGCTGCTGGGGATGTGCAATTGATTTACACTTACATCATTTTTTCCAGATAAAGAAAGCACCACAAACTTAATTTCCTTGATTTGCTCAACCATAGAACTTCTTATGAGCAAAATAATGCAGGAGCAGAACCCTGATCTTGAATCACAGGCAATCACAGTTCCTCTAGAATCTGAAAAACTCATAAAAGCTATAGCTGCCCTGGAGTTTTTGATACAGGTTAAATCACTGTGGAATAACTATGTAAAACATTTTGGTGATGGAACAGAACTTATTGTTACAGGTAAGTATTAAAGAGTTTATTTTTTTTCAAGGCAATAATAGAAGGAAGGCAAAAAATTAATTAGGAAAAATAATAAAATGTTTAGAAATAATGGGATGTGATAAGACTAGATCCTTAGGAAAACTTTGGAGAGCTTTTAAAACCAGTCCTTATAGTGAAGGATCTCATAGACAGCGTAGAGTAGATGCCGGAATAGGATCTGGCTTTGTGCATATGTGGACTAAGTGCTCCCTGCATAATGGGTGTAGCTACGATGAAAGTGTTTGGCTCAAGGGCAAAATTTATTTTTACGAGTAAGTTCTTTCTTTTCTGATGGTGAAAGGGCATTGCAGAAGAGCTGGGACTTTGGAATTGGCCCACCTGGAGCTCTGGTTCCTCCACTTTCTGCTTCTGTGGTCTTTTATCCCATAAAATAGGACAATGCTGTGTATCCAGCATGGGTTGTATGAGAATCGAATGAGGTTGTGTGAATGAGCACTTAGCACATTGTCTAACACATGGTAGTGCTGGATTGAGAGATCCCCTGTTCAAAGTCAGGGGAGATTGTCTCTAGTATGGAGAATTATTTGCAGCCAATAATACTGATCTCAGACATTTTCCAAAGGATCCAGCTGTATTTCTAGTTGCTCAAATGAAATTATCTTACTGTCCTTTCACACACAAAAATAAATTTAGAGATTTTTTTTTCTTCAGTGACCTTTTTCCTCCCTTTTCCTCAAGAAAGATGAGATCAAAATTTTTTTAATTTTGTTGTCATTTTATATGTTTTAAGCATTAATCACATACCTTAACAGATATAATCTCTGACACCAACATTTATTGACCATAAAATTTATAGCCAATGCATTTGGACTTCATGGTCACATTTATACGAAAATGTCCAAAATATAGAATCAATTAATTATAGTTAGAAATAACATGAATTTGAAATTCATAATTTGAATATTATATAGTTTTACTTTTTTGATGAAAGTGATATGAATAAATATAGACTACAAGTCAATATCAATATAACTGCTTGAAATATACATTCCATAGAATATATAGTAGACTTGGTAAATTTACATAAAATTCATATTGCCAAATCTTAATGACATATTAATAACTTAGGCATTTAACTCAAATTATTGAAATATGAAAGTCAATTCATATAAATGAATTGGACAGGCTTAATTATTTTTTTTGATCTGGTTTCTTGCCCATATATCATGAAAATCATTTCGAACGTAAAGCTGTTGATAAGTTTTAAAAAGAGTGTTTAAAGAAAAACATGCAATAAAAGATTAAAATATAAGCACTAACAATACAATAATCAAATTCTAGTTACCTGTTTCTTGGGGAATGTTATGGAAGTTCAAGATTCACTTTGTCTTGAGAATGTAAATAATGGAGATAAGGAAAGAGGATAGGAAATAAGAATATTATATTACCATATATAAACTTTCTTGATGTTAACTGATTTTCAACTTCATTAATATAATGAATTAAAAAAGTTTCTAATAAAGTTTCTATGAAGAAGAAAGTTTCTAAGAATAACATTAGATTATTTAATATATTGACTAGGACAAAAATTATGTAAATATAATGTCCATTTGCAAAATTTTCTTGTTTTACATAAAATTAAAAATAAAGGATAAGTTTGGAGAAATACACACTATCTATTCTTATAATCTTCAAATACTATTTGCATTAAAAGCATAATGTATGAAATTAATAAAAACATATTGTAAACTCATTATTTTTACACAATTAAAAATTCAACATTGCTTAATGATTTAATATAAAAATTCATGAGCTTGGCAACACAGTCCTCAAATAATTTTTTCCTTCTCATTTAAATAAGAAATCTAGTTCTCTTCATAAGAAATTGCCCACTGAATTAAACTAACTCCAAACTAGCTCAAAAGGACTATTAGTATAATACACGAGTTTCTATTGAAAATCAACTTAGAAAGGGTTCTAATATTTATAATTTTAATCATTAAATTTACAATAAATATATTATCAAGTAGCATTTTAGTAGTCCAGTTACAGTAATTTTTAAATGTATGGTTTATTTTGATGTGTTTTGACATTATGTCTGCAAAAAGTGCTGGAACCATAACTTTTAAGTTTAGAACTGTTATATAGACACTTTATTCAGTGTGTGAAAAAGAAAACAGGAAATCATGGAGCTCTTAGCCAGCCCAGCAGCCATCCACACAGGACAAATAATAAGCTGTATGGGAGAACATAGAATCAAAATAGTTGTCATGATTAAATTTGAAATTAAATTCCACATAAAATGTGATTATGGTCAATAGTTTCTAAACTAAAAGAAAATTCTGACACATTATTTGATAAGATTAATATAACAGCATTTCTGAAAACAATCAACAAATATTTCATAGAAGTTTTGGAAATATAGCTATGTTGCTCCTAAATTCTATGCACCATAAATAATTTGAAGGTTCACCTTTAATAGTGCCCTACTTAGAAACCTGAAATGATTGAGATATGAAATGATATGTTACATAAAATTAGAAATCACCTAGGAGAACGCTATTGCTTCAGAGTAGCCATGGGATCCACATTTGAAGCTGAAAGTTCAATTTGATAAGCTGATAAGTACACTTGGAAGTAGATTCCATTAAAAAAATGACTGATGTTTACAAAAAAATCAGTCTTCCATATGGCATTTATTTATATGGGTAATATGGTAAACATGCTACGTTGCAGAATGGTTGGGTGAATACAGTGTCAAGGAACATGAGAATGTGTTTTTTGATCAAAGTACATAAGTTAAAAAAACCTCATGAAATAGGAAGGCAATCACATTAGTAGTCACCAAAGGTTCTGTCTATAAGTATATCACCAATGTTATCTTATCTCCTCTACCATCACTACCACCATCCACCTTGAAAACATGATACACTATGATAGGAAAAAAAAGCATTTTTAAAGATAATTTATATTTAAAAATAAATGTTGGGAGCCTGATATAGGACTGTTACAAGTCATATGTCGGTATGAGAAAACAAGGGTCAGGTTGTAATCCAGGCTCTGTCTCTTTATAGCTCTGATATTGGGCCCAAGTTACATAATTTCTTGAACCCAATTTCCCATTGAAAATAAGTACAGCAATAAGTACCTCACAAACTATTATGGATAAATGACCATTTAAAGATAGCACCAATACTATGGCATCTCTTCTTTCTTTCATTTCATGCTGAGTTGTTCCAAACAACACAATAGTTGTGTTTCTCCAGTAGTTCTTTTCAAGTGCTATTCCACTTCTTCCACAGATCAAAATCTTAATGCAGACCTTTCACCCAAGTCCACAATTTTTTTTCCTTCAATTGCTGAAATAAATCTCCATAAGGCTGGAACATATCTTTGTCTTCTTGAGGAATTTTTCCCTGGTGTTATTAAGATAGACTGGAAAGAACAGAATGGTGGAATTCTGAAATCACAGGCAGGAAATACCACCAAGACTGGAGACACATACATGAAGTTCAGCTGGCTGACGGTGCCTGAAATGTCAATGGATAAAGCTCACATTTGTGTTGTCAAACACGAGTTTAACGGAGGAGGGAATGACCAAAAGATTTTCTTTCCTTCAATAAATAAAGGTATGTATATAAATATAAATATAACCTTCCAGAACCACTTCTCTCTTCCCCCCCAAATAGGATACAGTATCTTGTTGGTCAAGCTTTGTTTTTGTTTTTATTTTTAAGATTTATTTATTTATTTATACAAGCACTGGGTACAGTCAGAAGCGCGGGAGGGTGAAAGAAGTCACCAGAAAGAGAGCGGGGAACAGAACAGGCAGACTGACAAAACACACTGCTGAGGGGAGCAGCGGGGGGCAGGAGAGATCTGTGCACCATGTGGGACCCTCACTCGGTGACTGGGGATCGAACCGGTGCTACAGAGGCTGTGGGCAGCTTTGCAACCAGCGCTCAGCCTCTGCACCACCGGGGAGACCCGTTAGTCAAGTATTAAAGAAAATTATACATCTTCCTAAGATAATACATTTAACAGTAGCATAAGTGTCCTGCTATTTCCCCATAGATTAATATACATGAAAAAAAAACATGAAAAAACATCAAAAAGAAAAAATTACTAATCTTTCCTCAGTTTCAGTTTCATCACCCCAAAAAGTAGGAGCATGGTGATGTGTGAGGTTTTCATATGGATTAAAAAAAAAAGCCACTTACAAGTTCGCACACAATAACTGTTCATAAAGGGATTCCACTTTTGATGATCTTGCCTTATCAGGAAATAATAACAATTAAAGTTCGTTGAAGAATGTTCTACTTAGCAAGAAAAGTCACTTTCACTCTTACTTTGCAAAGATGCGAATATTTCGAAACCAGATTTTTATCAACACATTAGATTTGGGTGTGGATTCTTGGAATAGCTAAATAATTTTGGTACTGACCCCTCAAGTCAGTAGTGTGGTATGTGCTGAAGTCTAAAGCAGCCCCCTTTGCTTTCTAGTCAAGAAGTATTTATTGAGCAGCTACCAGGAGACAAACACTGTCCCAGGACCTCTGACTACAAAAGAAACAGATGGTTTTGAGATCACCACCCCTGCTGTGATAAAAAATGAAAGCAGTAAGTTTCTGCACATGCCTTGATTTTCTGTAATGCAATAGCACATTTTTTTCTCCTGATCAACATCAGTTTTGAACTGATGTAAAAAAGAAAAATCTATCTATCTATCTATCTATCTATCTATCTATCTATCTATCTATCTATCTATCTATCTATCTAGCTATCATTCTAGCTATCTATCATCTACACACATAGATATACACTGTCAAATAATGGACATGAACACTTAATACATGTTGTTATTCCTTCTAGATACTGATAGCTATGCTACAAAAGTTAGTCTGGAAGATGAAAGTGGTAAGTTTTTGTACTTTTTTTTTTTTTTACCCAGGAAAGCATGGGATATTTTATTTGAAATATCCTTTCTTTCCCCCTTCTGTTTCTATACACACTTATTCTGTTAAAGTTCTTTAATACCAGGAGTCTCCTTTGTCTTTGTGCACATGGATGGCTGTACCCCTTTAGAGTATGAAGTTTGGGGGCCCCAGGGTCTCCCTGGTTAGCATGCTAGCACTTTCACACATGTTAGTCCTCAGTAAGATTTTAGCATTTTTTTTTAATTTAAGTTTTATTTTTTATATTCCCCATACAATTACAACCCCCTTATTTTGACCCCAAGCCCTCCTTTCCCCCCCCCCACCCCCCATAGAGTGTCTCTGGTTCATAGTTGTTTGTTGATTTTGATATTTTCTTTCTTATAGTTATTCATTTTCCTGGTTCCTTATTTAAGTTTTCTAGATTCCTGCTATGAGTGAGACCATCCGGTATTTTTCTTTTTCTTTCTGGCTTATTTCGCTGAGCATGATCCCTTCCAGTGCCATCCATGTTGCTGCAAATTGCATGTGTTTATCTTTGTACATTTGTTTTTAATATCTGCTCTAGCTTGTATTTTCTCCTTATCACTTAGCTTTTGAGCTTCCGTGTTGTAAGGTAGAAAAAAAAGTATGGATTTTGCATAAAAGGTATAGTGACATTTTAAATCTAGTATTTTAAAAATGCTAGGTGGCATCTTAACTCAGTAAATGCTGGTTTGGGTACGAGATGACTGACATTAGTGTACAGTCATGTGCTCTGAATTATTTTCACAAAGGACTTCATTCCTTTGTGTTACTTTTGTTTCTAACGTGTGGGGCACACAAGCTATCAACTTGTTTCTAGATTATTTTTTAAGCCTTTGGTTCATGCCAGTAGCTAATAGGTAGTGGCACAAAATGACACTGAGAACTTCTTATACAGGTGATTGTGCTGTGTTTAAATGTATTTTCTTGTTGAATTCTCGTAATTCTCCGATGAGGTGGTACAATATCTTCCTAGCTCCCTCATTTTACAGATGAGGACAATGAGCTAAAATTAAGTTCCTTGCACCCTGTCACTCAGCTAGATCTAGGGTTCAAGCCAGGGCATCTGATCAAGAGTTAATACATGTACTCACAACTTCATTCTTCTGCTAAGAAGTGGTTATAGAGCAAGAAATCCCAACATTAAAGGGCTGAGATACAATGGACATATTGGGACTCGGGGGTAAGTGCGTGGGTTTGAGAGTGCCATAGACTCGACTTTAACTTCAATTCTTTAGATTATTCATTGCATGAGTATGAACAAGAAACTCACATTTTCTGAACAATACTTGTCAATACATCTGCCATTTTGGAATAACAACATCAAAATCCATTATGGAAGAGATACAGTCATCTTTGTGGCATGTCTAACTTAGGGTTGCTTCTTTAGCTGTCACAGAATCAGCACTAGTTTCTAGCCCTTTTCCCCTACATATGTGCCAAGAAAGTGACTAAAAGCATTGGCTCCAGCCCTCAATCTTCCTTCCTATTCCAATATCAAGGGGCTCCTGGCCTCAGCTAACACCTTACCTGATCTAGGATAGGGAATTATGAGCAAATCAACTCCTGAAATTGCTTTTAATACCAAGTGCTAATGACTCTAGAGTACTGGATTTATAAGATAAATCATATAAAAGGGAAATTTATAAAGGAAGAGACTCACTCACCCTGAATTCATTGAGTAACGTATCTGGCCAGGCTCATCATCACTTCTCATATCTTGATATCATAAATTCCTAGAAAATTTGAAAGGATATTATGTGCAATTATAACATCATAGCCACAGTGAAAGACATTCTTTTTTTTTAAAGATTTATTTATTAATACAAGAACCGGGGTATAGGCGAGATGCGTGGGAGGGTGAGAGGATTCACCAGAGACAGAGCAGGGAACAGAACAGGCAGACTGATGAAGTACACTGCTGAGGGGAGCAGCAGGTGAGACAGGAGAGGTCTGTGCGCCATCTGGGACCCTCGCCAGCTGGGATCCTCGCTGGCCAGCTGGCCGGGATCCAACTGGCACTGCAGAGGCTGCGGACAGCTTCACAGTGCGGCGCTCAACCACCTGCGCCACCAGGGAGGCCAGAGACATTCTTTACTAAAAACTCCTACCCTCTCCACTGTCAACACACTCAAATTCCCATAGATTCTGCCCTTTCTAGGAACATCATTGCACGCATAATGTGGAATAGCTTCTAAATCAGCAATTCAGCTTTATATTTATGCTTAACCTTAGATGTGGATATATATTGCGTTTGGAAATGCAGAAATACAGAGTAGTTAAGAATGTAATTTTTTTTAAACTTGTTTTTTTTAAAGATTTATTTAAAAAAATAAAATAAATAAATATAAAAAATAAATATACAATAACTGGGGTACAGGTCAGAAGCGCGGGAGGGTGAGAGAATTCACCAGAGCCAGAGTGAGGAGCAGAACAGGCAGACGGACCAAAGACACTGCTGAGGGGAGCAGTGGGCGAAGCAGGAGAGGTCTGCTGAGCCTTGTGGGGTTCTCCCTGGCCGGCGGGGAATGGAACCGTCGCTGCAGAGGCTGTGGACAGCTTCATAGCATGGTGCTCAACCACTGAACCACCCGGGAGGCCCAAGAATGTATTTTTTAACATGTTGCTGGAGTTGAAATCTGGTCTGGAACTTACTAAATGCATGACATCATGGAAATTATTTCCCTCTTTGGTAAACATTTAATAAGAGTAAAGATTTGCATACATAGAGCTCAGAATAAGTGATAGGCATATGATCAGTGGCTAAACATTATTAATTTTATTATTATTACTTGGAGAAATGGTCTGGGTAAAGAAATGCTAAAAAGTATTTATCAAAGTTAACCCCCCATAAGATGCGTTTAATAGAGATGAGACCCCACTTTTCGATATTCTGGAATTTTCTACCTGAACATAGCAGAGGTTGTTGTTTAACTTGACCTGACACTGGATTCTGCTGCTGTTGCTGTTTGTTGACCTTGGTGGTGGGGGTGGTTGTAGATGTTTACTTTGGTTTTTAGTGGTAGGAGGATGTCACTTCAATGTTAGCTATCAGAAGTAAATAATTGTGTCCTGAGCCCTATCAGTGTGTCCTACTATTTCAAAAGAAACTAATCACAGGACTTTTCTTAGGGCCACTGAAGCTTCAGCTCACCCAGAGCTCTGCCATCTACACCTACGCCCTCCTCCTTCTCAAGAGCGTGGTCTACTTTGCCATCATCTCCTGCAGGCTGTGCAGGAGAGCAGGAGGCTGCAGCAACGGAAAGAGTCCTTAATGATGGTGGCACAAAAGCTTCAGCTTTTGTTAACATTTAATGTCTCTGAAATGTCTGCTGAGGATCTAGCAGGATGGGTCTCTCTGGGTTTGGATTATTAGAGTTCTTTTGTTTTCTATTATATTATTATTGTACAATGATTTTTCAAAAACTGGGCAACAGAAAATCTCACTATGTAACAGCAACAAATTCTGCCATTACTTAGGGGCAGGGACAAGAGATATCTGATTGAATCCTTGCTTAGTGCCAATGTCAATAATCACCATAAAACTGCTCCAGTCAACCCAGTTTTCCTGACTTCTGAGTATAAAGAGCATGCAGCTCCCAGACACACTCCCTTAGTACCTTTTAGTCACATAATTGCCTTGAAGATCTTCATTTTATATACCCTGAATCTGCAGTCTGTGCTACTTGAAATCTGTAATTTGTTTTGCATAATAACTTAACAAATAAAAAAATCAAATTCCATTTTTGACTACGTGCACTTTAATTTGGTAAAATTTAATGGAAAGTTGCAGAGAAGAAACGGCATGACAACCGAGTTCTCAAATCCAGCATTGATTGTTACAGTAATCATGCATATTTCAAAATCCTTCCCAGAGTTGGAGGTAGTGACAATTTCTTGGAGGCATTTTCTCGAAGGGCAACTGCATCAAATGAAGGTGCTCACCTTACTTGTCTTGCAAACATCTCCAGACTCACATTGAATTGGTTTGGGGCACCCCCATGGCAACTGCCTGAGTCAACAATGACTTGCACTGTGTGTACTGGTGTTTAAGGAGCCCTATAGTTCCTGATCCTCATATAGCCCATGAGAGCTGCACAGACATGGGTGAGGCAGCATGGAGGAGGGTGAGGGCCCTGCATGGTGGGTTTAAATCCTGGATTCGGTGTCCAGATCTGTGTGGCCCTGGGAAAGCTACATCAATTTCTGTGCTATCATATCTTCATCTGAAAATGAGGTTACAGCTCACTGTCTCCTAAGTTATGAGGTTAGATGAATGAATGGTGTTTAGCACATACAACCCTTCACAACAATCCCACCTGCTGTTGGTAACTCTTCTTTAAAATATGCAGATAACACACTTAAAGGCACTGACAATTACCTGGATCCCATTGCCCTGCAGAGAGGTCAGATGTGGATGGAACAGGGAGTTGGTGAGTTTCTACTACATTCTAGGCCATCCTTTGATCTTACAGAAGCCCTTCAGGGTTGGAACAATTGTAGTGCACTATTTAGATGATTGGAGACTAAGTTATTTGCTCGACCATAATTTAAGTGATTTTCATACTTTAAAGCCAGTGTCTCTGAACTCAGAGCCCATATTTTTAAATCTCTAATGTTAGGCAGCTCTTAAGCAAGAATGCTGGGATATGAATCCAAGCAGCCTGGCTTCAGGACCTCTGCTAGTAACTTCTAAGATAATTGCAACCAGAGAAGAAGCAGGTTACTTTTATTCTCAGTCCAAACAGTAAAATTTCCTTCCATATAAGGTTAGAACTAGTGTAGAGAACTTCCTTTTTACCTTCTACATTTCTTCTCTTTTCTCCTATGTGTTCCTACAATTAGAATATCACAGGTCAACCTGCCACACAATATTTCATGCTAGGAAGACTTTATATGTCCACCTATAAGTCTTCTGTGATTTAAGTCCATGACACTTGGTTGGATAAAATAAATCTCAGGACAACACACTATATCCACAAATGTGTCGAGGAAAGATCAAGCAAAGTTTTCTATACCACACAAACCCTTACGTCTCTCAGTTTTTACAGAGCTAGAGCCCTCCCCACATGTCTCACTTCTCAAAAAAGTCAACATCAAAGCAATGATTCTCAAAATTTCTCCACTAAACATTCTCTCTACTGTTTTGGAGTATTTTCCTCATAAACTTGATTTTTTAAAAGACTTTCTAACCAGCATAATTGTATAGTTGTCATAATGTAAGCCTCTTTATAACTATAAAAGATATAAATACATAGACAGGCAAAGTACATATTGTAATTGAGACCCACATTTTTTCAAAATTCAGCCAGTGTCAAATAATATCAAATGGCATGGGAGGCTGTTTAATTTTCTCTGTCATTAAATATAATATTCACTTAGATTAATTAAAAATCTATAATATTGCTCATAATAAGTTAAATAACAGAAATACATAAACCCTAGTTGAATAATATGTACTTATATATAATATCAATTAATTCTATTTATTTGTATAGAAAAATTCAAAGTAAAAGTGAGTGATGGTTCCCTTTATTGTCAATTTTAATATCTCATCTTACTCAGAATTCCTCTACTAACAACTGTTAGTTATTCAGTCTTCATATATTCCAGTATTATGTCTTTGAATGAGTGACTTCTCTTTTCCACTGTACTCGTTACCACATAGAGATGATCATAATAGCAATCTCACAGGACTGTTGGGAGAATTAAATAAAATAAGAAAACTTAAAACAATGCACAACATCAAACAAATCCTCAACGGATATTAAATGTCATATTGCACTTTAAAGTTTATCACTACATAGAAAGCAAATATTGCTTTGATTATACTCCTGCTAGTAACTTAATATGCAAAGGTCAGCCCTAATGCCTGGAGTAAGTAGAAGTTCATATCACAATCATAAAAACACCCCAATGTTTGTACATACGGCGTATTAAAAAACATCAATGAGATATTGTAGCTTCTAAGTTTGTTTTGTTGTATTATAGAAAATAAGGTTTTATACTCAAGGCCTCAGTCACATGTAAATTACAGATGTTAGACAAAGGACTGAACCCAGCAGGTACGAGTCCACAGGTTTGGATTATGACCTCGCACGTAGAATTTTAGGGTTAAATGATAGTGTATATAGGAATTGTCCTTCTCTATCCCAAGATGTATGATTTCATAACCGAGACTTCTTCCCAGATTTTGAATCTCTTACTAGTTCTGCCAGGACCATGGAGCTCAGAAAGTCACAGAACTACCCATATCTGTAGCAGATCATTATGAACCCCAGTAAACTATCAGCACTACCACTTCCTCTGAAGCATCAGAAACAGCCCCACCCTCCTACCGCTGGCTTGAGACCTCCTGTTAACAGAGATCTCAGTTTCTCGCCTTCTCCTCAGGAGCCAGCCAGCCAACAGGATGCCTCTCCTGAAAGCTGTCATCTTCTCTTCCCTCTGGGCTTGTGAGTTGTCCTTGTCCACAGTCTATAGGAGACTGACATGCAAGCTTTTTATTTTCATTCTCAATCAGTATTTTTGGCTACTGCATGTTGAGTTTTTGTTAATTTTAAACTTATTCCTTTACCCTATGTGCATGGGAAATGTGCTCTGTAGAGTGTCAAGTAACAATTATTTAAGACATTGTGCATCACTAGTCTCTGCTATGATTACTAACCCGTGTCACTGAGCTCCAAAGCTATCATAGCAGTATATAGACAAATAGGCATGGCTATGCTCCATGAGCGTTTTGGGTAGCTGTCACTTCGTCTACAGGAGATACTGAGAAAATCCTTTATTTTTGCCTCTGTGTATATCATTTATGTGGATTTTAATTTTTTTTTTTTGCAGTTGGTTTTGGTCAGTTAAAATTGGAGCAACCAAAAATATCGGTTTCCAGAATAAGATATCAGCATGCCATCATATCTTGTAAGGTGTTCTCTAATAATTTTGATAATGCATACATACATTGGTACCGACAGAAACTTGGCCAGAATTTAGAACATCTAATGTATGTCGTCTCAACAACAAACCTCGCTCAGCATAAAGTAGATGGGAAGACCAAACTTGAAGCCAGTAAAGATTCTCGTGCTTCCACGTCAACCTTGAAAATTATTTACTTAGAGAAAGAAGATGAGGCCACGTACTACTGTGCCAGCTGGGACCACAACATTAAAACTGCCAACATAACCTACACAAAAATAAACTCTAGGTCGGTGCCACATCCTTCCCAATACAGGGAACCACAGAGGCCTCATGTCTGGGCATCCATCCTGAGCCTCCCGTCCTGCAGAACGGGAGTTGTGTACTTTTTTATTATTGTCCAGAGGTGACCTACAAATACATGTATCAGAATAAACAGAAAATTATTCCATGCAGGAAATATGCTGGTGATAGTACATCTTCTATTGTCATGATGGCACTTTCGAGATATCATTGTCATTGTTCAACTTGACTATACATAATTTGGACCTGGGTTCTAAATCTCAGTCCATGAATACCATTGTTAGAAAGGAGAGTCACAGGAAAGACTGACATGGAGTCAGCTTGTCAGACTACCTCTCCCTACTCTGTTGCACACCTTCTGTGATTCTAACCTGTCCATGTATCCTGACCAGCCTGTCTAATCAGTGTGTGTCCAGATTGATTTCTTGAACCTATCTGAGGACTTTCTGGCTACTTTCACTTTAAGAGAAGCTAATAGAGAGAGCAGGACCCAAGAGAAACATAAAGAACCTGAGTATCAGTCCTTTTCAGACAGGAATGCACAGATGGATTTGTCAACATCACTGCTACCTTTTCATCTAGCACTCAAAAGTGACCAAAAAAAGCAGTAATAGTTGCCTTCAGTGAGTTAACCTACATCCATATATCTTAGAGTATGAATCCCTATCAGCTCTATGTTAGACTAAATGGTGAATAGATGAATTATCTCTACATATTTATGAATAGAATTAGAATTACTTGGTATTTCAAGATCCTTGGGCCTCAATTACACATGGAACAGCATCAGTTGAATTATATTACATTCAAAGAATATAATGCTATGTTGTCAATAACAACATTTTATGGGTTAATTGATACTTTTTTTTTAGTAGAATGTTTAATGAACAATAGAATTTTATTTTCCAGATATTTTTATTGAGGAAATGTGTGTTATACCATTGTATCTGCTTGGGAATTACAGGTTAAAGTCTCTACAAGTGTATATTTTCACACCACCCCTACCACATGTGCCCCAAATACTCTACATTTTTACGTTGGGATCCCTCTCTTCTGCATTCCAAACGCACTCCAAACCCACTCCTCCCACTATTTTCCAAATTCTGAAAAATATTCATAATAAAATATAAAGGAAAAATTGTGAGTATATGAAAACCTTTTAAAATATA